TGACAGACGCCATACATGACACAAATCCAGATTCCCAAAGGTAAACAAGTATACATGATCTAATGCATAATGAATCATATGATGCATAGTAAACACGCTATGCTACGCTGGCATGATGCTGCTGCTGCTTTGATGATGCTGCCTGCTGTCCTGCTGATGAATGCTGCTGCTGATGATATAATAACAGTATAATTATAATAATATAAAACAATAACGCAAACGCCAACATATTTATCTATTTAAATTTATAATATAGATAATATAATCATATTATTTGTAATACGCTAGTCCTACAGTAGATATTGTCTATATATTGCCGTCGTCATTGTTTACAGGAAATACTCCCTATTTGATACTCTCGCCCAGTATGAGATGCCGCAGAGGATGGCGAGTTAAATCATTATTAATAGTTCTTGCCAAATATTATCAATCTTGACTCATCACGTACATCTCATTCATCTCGTCACGTTCAATTATATTGACCTTTTTTGACTCTGACTGTCTTCCTATTCTTTTTGCGTGTTTGCCACGATGGTGGTTTGGTTTAGGGTGTGTGTTGGTATGTGTGTGTGTGTGTATGCATTGGTGCAGTGGTGTGATGTCGTGCTGGCGTGTGTGTGTTGCTATGTATGTGCTGTTGTATGGCAGTGTGTGGCACGCGCATGCGTTAGGGCGAGTGTTACCACCGTGGAGGAGGTGTGTGACCCTGACTCGCGTCGTGCCGTGCTTATTGTTGCCAGACGATCTTCCTCAGCTGTACACGTGAATCACCTCGTCCCGGCAAAGCGGACATTGGGGAGAAATGACAGCATCATAGGCAGAAAATGTCAGTGTCCACTGCCAACATAACGTAGGAGAAAAATTGTTGCCTTTGTTTTTTGTTTTTTTTTAGTGTGTTCACCTTGCTACTATTTGTTCCTTGCTTTCCTTCACGCGGCAATTTGCATATAGCGCGTTCGTGCGGCGACAACACACACAGACATACACAACACACACACATACACATACACACACACCACACACACACCACACACACACACACACACACACACACAACCACAGAAGAGAGAGAGAGAGAGGCAGCAGAGTGAGAGAGACAGATAGAAGAGAGAGGAGACTTCAAGAAGCAACACAATAAGACTGAAATCAATATGTATGAAATAGCAGGTTTAATAATTGGAGTCCTCTACAGACCACAAAGTCAAAAAAAAGGATTACCTCCTTCAACATTTCGAAACTAGGGTTGCGTACTAGTTGCGTGTTAGTTCTACTACATGCGTGTTGAGAAATGCATAAATAGTGGGCCTTTTCTAGATGCGGTTCAGTTGTTGGTGGACCTCCGAGGTGACACATGGACTACCTCTTGCTGTTATTGACATCAGTTTTAATTGGTCATTAGCACTGCAACACATACAGAATAAAAACAGCAAGGGAGAAGAAGAGAAGAAGAAGAAGAAGAAGAAGAAGAAGAAGAGAAGAACAAGAGTGTGTTAGACATGGATTAAGTCAGGCGCCTTCACTTTTGGTCTCTACGACCAGCTTATAGTGGAGCTCCGGAACGAGGACCAAGTCATTCAAGAACTTCATGGAGATGCCCCGGAAATGTACGATGAGCTGCGTTACGGAGAGTTGGTCCTCGCATCACGAACAAAACACTAAGTACAGGTTGCCCCTGGACCCTGGCCTGAACTGGCAGTTCACTTTGCCGGACCTGGCCTCGTTACCAAGTACTCGAAATGCAGTAGGATGGAGAGTACCACCAACACCATCTCAGTCGTTGTCCGTGAAGTCTGCCAAGCCATCATGATGAGTACATGGAGGAGGTGATGACCTGCCCCACCACTCCTGAAGATGGCGTCCATATCAGACAACTTCATGAAGAGGTGGAACTTTCCCACATTACATGTGGGCCCTAGATGGGAGCACGTGGCATGTAGGTGTCCCCCAACAGTGGATCCATGTATTACAACTACAAGGTGTCTACTCTGTGTGGCTCCTGGCCCTGGCTTGTGCTCCAAGCTTTCACATGGATTTCACGCAAGAACCGACAATCGTTGCAATGGCGCCACCTTTGTCTCATCGTATGAGGGGTCAGCACCCTGGGCCTGATCTTCCCACCTCTTCAGCCTCCTTGCCAGTGTCTTTGTAGGCGTTGAGTTTGGATTCCACATATATTGGGTTCTCCCTCAGCCACTCAACCATCAGAATCTCTCTGGCCTCGCTGCATGCTAGCCACATTCTTTGATTTCCTGGCCTCTGCTAGGGTGGCCGCATTCTTCTCTTGGATATTGGTAGAGAACCAGAGCCATGTTATCATAAGAAAATGACTGCTGCATTATTGAATGATGTGATGAATTGATGAGTCACGGGTCAAGTGTTCTCTACGAGCGAGGAGTTGGAGACCTGCGGAGAACCTGGACCTGGACCGGCTCGGGTAGAGGCTTTAACAGAGTTAACAGGTTTTTTACCACGTGACCGATATTCGCAAACTAGCACGCAGTCCAACGCAACTTGTAATTTTGAACGCAACTCAAACGCAACTCGTAAGTTTAGTTCGCAACCCACACGCAACCCACACGCCAACCCACACGCAACCCACACGCCAACTCACACAGTAACCCTATGTTGAATAGGTTGAATTGTTGATTTGGGTTGCGTTTGGGCGTATAAAAAATATTTTTTACACGCAACTCATAGGTTTCAGCATACGCTATGTGCGGCGCCTTAAATTCACGTCCAAATTGAGGTATCTGGCCAGTTTTGTAGCGTACATGTTCGAATGTGTTGCGTACCTGTTGCGATCATGCTGCGATCGTGTTGCGTGCCTGTTTGCGATCCTGTTTGCGTGTGTAGCGTACCAGCCTATATTGCGTATCCCCAGCGTACTTCCAACCTATGCCATGCGTATCCAACTTATTAGTTGGGTGGAGTTGCGTGTTAGTTGCGTACTACATGCGTGATGAAAAATGGTAATAAATAGTGGGCATTTCTAGATCCGTGTCAGTTATTGGGGACCTCCGAGGTGACAACATAGAGCTATACCTCTTGTTGTTATTGCGACATCAGTTTAATCTGATCAATTTAGCACTCCAACACATACAAATAGAATAAACAAATAGCGGGCGAAGAAGAAGAGTGTGGGTTAGACCATGGTATTACAGGCGCGTTCACTTTGCGTCTCTACACCAGCGTCTGGGAGCTCCAGGACGAGGACAACACTGCATTCAAGAACTTCATGAGGATGCCCCGAGATCTACGCATGACTGGCTTACGCGAGCAGTTCGCGTCTCGCGCATCACCAATATATACGGATATTATATATATTATTATATAGGTTATTATACAGGTTTTTACCACGTGACCAATATTCGCAACTAGCACGCAGCTATAGCACGCAGGTTCAACGCAACTTGTAAGTTTTGAACGCAACTCAAACGCAACTCGCACGCAACTTGTACGCTGGTGATCGCAGATATTGGGGAATCATAAGTTTAGTTCGCAACCCACACGCAACCCACACGCAACCCACACGCAACCCACACGCAACTCACACGCAACCCATAGGTTGAATAGGTTAGAAATTGACAAAATTGTTGATTTGGGTTGCGTTTGGTGCGTATAAAAATATTTTTTACACGCAACTCATAGGTTTCAGCATACGCTATGGTTACATGGGTATGTACATAAATCAGTGAGGTATCATTAAGTGAGGTGTCCGTTTATCCGAAGTCCGATAAAGCGGGTACCATTGTATTCGTATATACCATATTCTTATATTATTCGTACGTTTTCTGCCAGCTCGATTTTGGAATATCAACCTCTACTCGGATTGCAGCCCTAGGTGCGTTGCCGGTTGTAACGAGACCCAATTTATAGAGAGTATATCGCATGCGTACTACCCGGCACCACATCTGGTCGAATTTGCAGCGGAATACTTCAACGATTCGCGCTTCTTACAGGAAGAAGTCACGACTGCCTTCCGGTACGTCGGGTCATTTCGATGACGTTATGGTTTGTTTGTTTGTTTCGTTTCGATTAGAGGTATTTAGAGGCGTAAAATTGTTAATTCTGGCGTAGAAAGAAGAGATGAGAAGCACTTATAGGCGTTTCTGTAATTCTGTTGACAAGTCGCTGAGAGTACAAAGCAATGCGCAAGTAATAGATAATAAATAATAATAATAGCAATAACAATAATAATCATGATGATAATAATAATAATAACAATAATAATAATAATGAACATGTTAGCTCAGTAGCGTTAACGGCGTTGAGATATACGAAAGAACACAGTGAAGGATGAATTATAAGATTCCGCTTCTGAATATAATGACCGAATAAAAATAATATTGTTACTCCGCTTGTGCACGTGCGTGCGCGTGTGTGGGCGTGCGTGAAGGTGTGTGGGCGTGCGTGCGGGTATGTCTGTATGTATGGGTCGGCGCACGTGCACGTGTGTATGGGAGTGTGTGCGGGTATGTGTGTGTGCGTGCGCGCGATTGTGTGCGTGCGCGTGTGCGTGCATATGTGTTTGTGTGTGCGTACATGCGTGCGTGCGCGTGTATTGGCCACAGAATCAACTATTCAATTTCTCTCGCTCAGGAAAAATGCACTTGGGATAAGGATCTTCTACGAGACAATGTTCATCAATGTCGCCAACCTCAACTTTGCGTACAGTTATAAAGAATTATTCAGTAAGTGACCTGATCTCAGATCTCTACAACATCGTCCTACAAGTGTTGCGACTAGCTGGTAGTAAAATCTTACACGAAAGCAATGATTGCATTCCAACAAAATCGTTGCCTACGCTCATCAAAAGACGTGAGCATTGAAAGCAATATCAAATGTGAGAAATCAAATATAATCATAATCAATTATAAATATATAATCAAATGAAAGAAATCTGCTCAATAATTGCTTACTGCTACTTACTAGATTACTTACTATAGAAACCAAACCAGTCTATGCTAGTAGTCGCTCGCAGCTAGATCGGATCCCTATACTTTTGGGAGTGAAAAGATGGCGGACGTGTAGCGTCACTGACACGTAGCCAATGCCCTATCCAGATTATATTATAGAGATCAGTGGTGTGCGTGTGTGCGCATGCGGATTTGGCGATCTTAATATTTGGTGCGGGTTTCCGATGAATGCCGAAGTTTCTTCGTGTTTTTACTACGTATTTTATGCAAGCAATGTGCGTGTGTGTTCGCGTGCGTGCGTATGTGAACAAGAGAGCGAGAGAGAGAAAGAGAGAGCGCGAGCGTGCGTGCGTGCGTTTGTGTGTGCGAGTGCGTGCATGTATGCATGCGTGTGTGCGCGCGTGGGCGTAACAGTGCGTATACAGAATGGGGCAGGTCGGCCACATCTATGCTCTATCTATAGGAAAATAAATATTTATTATTAAACTGCAGCATTCAGACAAAAAATTACAGACAGTACATTACGGACAGTACATTCCGCGCTGTAACAACGCAGCGAGGGCAATAGTACGGTACCATTCAGCACGCTTTGAAGCACGTCTACTCCACCTCAATATGTAGGAATAACTTTGGCTGGACTACTGCGTATTTAATCCGGGTGCCTACACGCAGTGAAAATTTATGTAACATGTAGGGTCAAATTTGCGGACTATAAGTTGCACGTATCTGTAGCTTGGCTTTGTGTTTGTTTGGCATAAAAAGGCTATAAAAAAACAGCGGAATAATAATACTGAATTGCTCACACGCTCTTTTTAAGAAGCATGACAATGTGGATAAATCGTGCGCGAAAGGCAATAACAGGAAACTGGAGCTCTACCGAGATTACACGATGAACAACTGTTTGCTAGAGTGTCGAACTAAACACGTGGTAAACGAGTGCAACTGCAGACTGCCATACATGAAAGATCCAGTTCCCAAAGGTAAACAACGTAATGATCTAATGCATAATGAATGCATATGATGCATATGTATAACACGCATGCTACGCTGTGCATGATGCTGCTGCTGCTGCTGGTGATGATGCTGCTGCTGCTGCTGATGATGATGCTGCTGCTGATGATGATAATACAGTATAATTATAATAATAATAATAACAATAACGAAACGCCACATATTTATCTATGTAAATTATAATATAGTATAATATAATATCATATTTATTTTTATACGTAGTCCTACAGGTAGATATTTTTCAGTTATATTGCGTCGTTTGTTTACAGGAAATACTCCCTATTGTACTCTCGCCCAGTATGAATGCGCAGAGGATGTGCTAGGTAATCATTATTAATAGTTTTGCAAATATTATGCAATCTGCTCATCACGTACATCTCATGATCATGCTCGTGCACGTTCAATTGATATTGCTACTTTGATGGACTCTTGACTGTCTTCCTCTTCTATTTTCGGTGTTTGGTACGATTGTGTGTGTGTGTGTGTGTGTGTGTGTGTGTGTGTGTGTGTGTGTGTGTGCGTATGTATGCTGTGTGGTATGTATGTGTGGGCGGTGTGTAGGCGTCGCCAGCGATGCGTGTAGGGGGAGTGGTACCCACCTGTGGGAGGAGGTTTGTGGACCGCTGACTCGCCGTTGCGTGGTTATTGTGCCATGACGAATCTCCTCATCTGTACACGTGAAATCACGCTCGTCCGCCGGCGAGCGGGTGAGCATTGTGGTGGAGAGAATGACAGCATCATAAGGGGCAGTGGTCAGGTTCACTGCAACATAACTGTAGGGAGAAAATTGTTGCGCTTTGTTTTTTTGTTTTTTTTAGTGTGTTCAGCGCTTGCGTACTATTGTCGCTTGGGCTTTGCCCTTCACGCGTGAATTTGCTAATAGGCGCGTGTGCGCGACACAGGGGAACACACCAAGCACACAGACATACACACCACACCATACACATTACACACACACACACACACACACACACACACACACCAGCACACACACACATCACTCACAGAAAGAGAGAGAGAGAGAGAAGATGAAGAGAGAGAGAGAGAGAGGAGAGAGAGACGTCAAAAGAGGCAACACAATTAAAGACTGAATCAATATGGTATGAAATAGCAAGGTTTAATAATGTGGAAGTCGGTCTACAGACCACAAAGTCAAAAAAAGGATTACCGTCCTCACATTTGAAACTAGGGTTGCGTACTAAGTTGCGTGTTAGTTGCGTACTAATGCGTTGTTGAGAATGGCATAAAATAGTGGGCCTTTTCTAGATCGGTTTCAGTTGTTGGGTGGACCTCCGAGGTGACAACAATGGAGCTAACCATCTTGCTGTTATTGGGACATCAGTTAATTTGGTCAAATTTAGCACTCTAACAATACAGAAATAGAATAAACAGAAAGGGGGAGAAGAAGAAGAAAGAAGAAGAAGAAGAAGAAGAAGAGAATGAAGAAAGAAAGAGTGTGGGTTAGACCATGGATTAGCAGAGCGCCTTCACTTTTGTCTCTACGACGCGACTTATGGTGGGAGCTGCGCGAAAAGAGGACCAAGGTGCATATCAAGACTCAATGAGGATGCCCCCCGAAATGTACGATGAAGCCTGCTACGGAGAGTTGGTCCTCGCATCACGAGCAAAATAACTAAGTACAGGTTGCCCTGGACGCCTGGCCTCGACGCTGGCAGTCACTTTGCGGCACCTGGCGCTCGGGTAGGCCAAGTTACTCGCGAACATGCAGTAGCGGATGGGAGAGTACCACGCCACACACATCTCAGTGCGTAGGTCCCGTGAAGTCTGCCAAGCCATCATTGATGAGTACATGGCGGAGGTGATGACGCTGCCCCAACCACTCCATGAGAGGGATGGCGTGCCACTATCAGACAACTTCATGAAGAGGTGGAACTTTCCGCCCATAGCATTGGGGCCCTAGATGGGAAGCACGTGGCATGTAGGTGTCCCCCACCAAAGATCGGATCCATGTATTACAACATTAACAAAGGGGTTTTACTGTCTGGTGGCTGGCTCCCTGGCCCTGGCTGGGCTCCAAGCTTTCACATGGATGTCACGGCAAGAAGCCGGAAGCAATTCGTTGCAAGTGGCCGCGCACCTTTGATGCGTCATCGTATGAGGGGTCCAGCACCTGGGCCTGATCTTCTCCCACCTCCTTCAGCCTCTTGCCAAGTGTCTTATGTAGGCGTTGAGTTGGGATTCCACATTAAATTGGGTTCTCCCTCAGCCACTCAACCATCAGAATCTCTCTGGCCTCATTGCTGATGGTAGCAACATTCTTTGATTTTCTGCCTTGCTAGGGTGGCCCGCATTCTTCTTCCTGGATTTGGGTAGAGAACCAGAGCCATGTTCATCAGAAGAAATGACATGCTGCATTATTTGAATGATGTGATGAATGGAATGAGTCACGGGTCCAATTGGTTCTCTACGAGGAGGAGTTGGAGACCTGGGAGACCTGGACCCGCTGGACCTGGCTACGGGTAGAGGCCTTTAAACAGAGTTACATACAGGTTTTTACCACGTGACCGGATAATTCGGCACGTAGCACGCAGGTCCAAGCGCAACTTGTAAGTTTTGACGCAACTCAAACGCAAAGATCGTAAGTTTAGTTCGCACCCCGGCACACCAACGCCAACACGCACCCACACGAGCCCAACGCGCACACGCAACCAAACACGTACAACGCATGGATGTTGAATAGCCCGCCTTGGACCATGTTGATATTGGCGTTGCGTTTGGCTCGCGATATAAAAACATATTTTTACAAAACGCACTCATCAGTCTTCACGCATTACGTACTGGTCGTCGCACGGCGGCCTTAAATATCCAGGATCCACAATTCCTCGAGGTATCTGGCCCAGGTTTTCCCGCTCTAGCCCGTCCACCATGATGCGAAATCGTGTTGCGTACCTGTTGGCGGAATCATGCTGGCGATCGTGTTGCGTGCCTGTTGCGATCCTGTTGCGTGTGTAGGCGTAACCCCAGCCTATTATGCGTATCCCGGCAGGCGTAATCTCCAACCTATGCCATGCGTATCCCAACTTATTAAGTTGCGTGTGGAGTTGCGTGTTAGATGCGTACTACAATGCGTGATGAAAAAATGGTATAAATAAGTCGGGCTATTTCTAGATCGCTGTCAGTTTTATTGGGGTGGAACTCCAGACGGTGACACACTAGAGCTTAAATAGCCTCTTGATTTTGTTATTGGCCCATCCAGTTTAAGTGCTGATCGAATATTAGGCACTCCAAACCATACCAGAATAGAAATAAACAAAAGGGCGAAGAAGAAGAAGTGGTGGGTTAGACATGGATTTGCAGGGCGCGTTTCACTTCATGGTGCTCTACGACGGCAGCGTACCTGGTGGAGGCTCCAGACGACGGACCACAGCGTGCATTCAAGACCCACTCCATGAGAGATGCCCCCCACCGAGATCTAGATGAGCCCTGCTACGGAGAGTTGTGGTCCTCGCCATCACCAATATAATACCGGAATTCATATATACTTCATTATATAGTTAATTATACAAGGTCCTTTTACGCACCGTGACCAATATCGACCAGCCCTAACCCACAGCAGCCTTATAGCCAACGCAAGGTTCAAACGCAACTGTAAGTTCTTGTTACGCAACCTCGCAAACGCACACTGCGCTACGCTAATTTGTGCGCTGGTGATCGCAGATATTGGGGAATCACTAAGTTTAAGTCCTCAGCGCACACCCACACGCAAACCACACGCAAACCATACACACGCAACCCAACACGCAACTCCACACGCAACCCAATGAGGTTTGAATAGGTTAGAAAATTGACAAAATTGTTGATTGGGTTGCGTTTTGGTGCGTATAAAAATATTTTTTACACGCAACTCATAGGTTTTTGCAGCATACGCTATGGTTTTACATGGGTATGTACACTAAATCAGTGAGGTATCTATTAAGTGAGGTGTCCGTTTGATCCGAAGTCCGAATAAAGCGGGTACCACATTGTATTCGTATATACCATATTCTTATATTATTACGTACGTTTTCTGGGCAGCTTTCGATTTTGAAATATCAACCTCTGTACTCGGAATTGGCAGCCCGTAAGGTGCGTTCGCCTGGTTGTAAAGCGAGACCCGAATTTATAGAGCAGTATAATCGCATGCGTACTAACACCGGCCACAACCACATCTGGTCGAATTTGCAGCGGCAATACCTTCAACGATTCGCGCTTTCTTAACAGGAAGAAGTCACGAAACTGCCTTCCGGTAGCGTACGGTCATTTCTCGATGACGTTTTATCGGTTTGTTTGTTTGTTTCGTTTCGAATTGAGAGGTATTTAGCAGGCCCGTAAAAGTTGATTAATTCTGGCCTAGGAAAGAAGAGATGACAAGCACTTATAGGCGTTTCTGGTAATCTTCGTTGACAAGTCGCTGAGAGTACAAAGCAATGCGCAGTATAGATACCATCCAAATAACTAATAAGTAGCAAGCTAACAATAATAATCATGATGATAATAATAACAATAACAATGAAAATGAATAATGAACATGGTTAGCTTCAGTAGCGTTAAACGGCGCTTTGAGATATCGAAAGGAACACAGTGGAAGGATGATTATACCAGATTCCGCTTCTGAATATAATGACCGAATAAAAAATAATAGTACTACCCCACCCGCTTGTGGCACGTGCCGTGCGCGTGGTGCTCGGGCGCTGCAGTGAAAGGTGTGTGGGCTGTGCGTGGGTGCATGTCTGTATGTATGGGTCGGCGCACGTGCACGTGTGTATGGAGTGTGTGCGGGTATGTGGTGTGTGCGTGCGCCCGCGGATTTGTGATTGCAGTGGCGCGTGTGCGCTGACCATATGTTGTTTGTGTGTGCGTAGCCATCCGCGTGGCGCTGGCGCGGTGTATGGCGCAACAGAATCAAGTATTCAATTTCTCTGCGCTCAGGAAAAAATGGCACTTGGGATAGAGATCTCTCTCACGACGCACACACCCTGTTCCTCAATGTCCGCCAACCGCTCAAGCTTTGCGTACAGTTATAAAGAATTATTCACTCACAGTGAACCTGATCCCCCAGGATCTCTAACAACATCTGTCACTACAAGTATTCCCAGCGACTAGCTGGTAGTAAATATTACAACGAAACAGCAATGATGCATTCGCCAGCAAAATCGTTCACTACCCGCTCATCAAAAAGACTGAGCCATTAAAAAGCAATATCAAATGATTGAGAAATCAAATATAATCATAATCAATTATAATATAATACATCAATGAAAGAAATCTGCTCAATAATTGCTACTGCAAACTCTACTAGATTGACTTCCTATACGAAACCATATCTCTACGCTTAACCTCCGACATCTCTGCTACGTGTGCGCCCCTGCGTTTCTAGTAGCAGTTACTCGTCAGGTATCAGTGTATCATTGCAGGTGACACACACTGGGTGGAGCCGAGTGGGCTTAACTTGGCTGGGCGCCGCAAGCGTTCTTAAGTATTTACGAAATTTTCGGAATGTTTGCCTCTCCCTATTTCTTTGAGGAAGATCAAAAAAAAGGATAAATCACAAAGGAACGTCTTGGAAGTTAGTGATCTCGTGGAATGCCTCACTGAAATGCCTTTATGCAGTAGTCCAATATTGGCGCTCGCGAATGGTGTTGGGACAGGCGTGGCTCCATAATACTTTTAATAACATGCCCCATGCTGCTGCTCGCACACACACATCACCACACACACCGCCACACACAACAGCCCACACAACACACACACACACACACACACGCCACGCACACACCCACGCCACACACGCGCACACACGGCACACACAGAACCCATTCACACATCAGACAGGTCGGTCGCCCCGGACGCGGCGCCCGAGGGGCACCGCACACAGGTACATCCATATACCGGTACTTGCCAAAGCACAGTAACAGCAGGTAGATACGCGCTCACAGCACACCGCGCCCCCGGCGGCGCACACACACCACACGCGACACCCCCATACCACACATGAGCGAGTGCTCGGGAAACACACACACATCACACACGCGCGCGCGCGCGCGCGCGCGCGCGGCGGCGTAGACATGCCAGCACTCAAACGACAACGGTACTAAATACTATACTACACAAATAAATACACTGTGTATATCAATCAGCGAAATAGTTTTAAATGCATACGTCAATGTCTAAACGCTTCTAAAA